TCACAGGTACTATTTGTTTCAAAAAATAACTGAAAAATTTTAGACAAAGGAAAGACGCGAAATTACCCCGCGGATACTACCAGAAAGTAGGTATCGATAACAGTGAGCCAAGCTTTCGTCGGTTTTCGAATATATTTTTCAAGCAACAACTTTTATTTAAACTTTATGGGATAAATAATTTTAGAGCCTTGCCATTATAACAGTCTATCCGCTATTTAATCTTTTTTCTCATGTCGTTAGTATTGTGGCTGCTGCGTACTTTGATTCTGGCGAGCCTGCTGTTGAAGCAGGTTTATTTTGTATTCTTCACTGACTTCACTCAGTTTGTTTACTGCAGTAAGAAGTTCTGAAATAATTTTTTTATTTTGTAGCATGCCATCACATTGATCATTGGCCACTGCCTGTACCCGGTGAATATCTGACACTCCCACTGATGGGGGCCATTATTCACTGTCGTATTCCTAGCAGGAATGATGCGCCTTTGGAGTTCAAACTTGTAGAAGAAGCTAAAGTTTGTTCCACTCGTATTTGGTTTAGAGTAGTAATGCAGCACTGTATATTGACTAAATTAATGACAGCTTAAGTAGTATAGCGAGAGTAACGTACTCTTCAGGTGATATTTTTTGTTTTAGAAAACTTCTGGTCACCCGTCTCCGCTGATCCTAACAACTGTGAACGAAACTAATTTGTTCAGGTGAATTCATTTTTGATTTTAAATAGTATTGCATCTCAGTAAATGTTTCTTTGGTTTTAACTCTAGAATTTCTTTTTACTTTATCTACTAAACCCTGTGAGACATGTTAAAAGTAAAATTGGTCACCTTCTTTTTTCAAAACTGGTTTTATAAGGTAGTTGAGACTGTCACGTGTAGATTTAAACGGAGCACTTTAGTGAAGAAGTACCTTGTGCTGCAGACGGGAATCATTGTGCTTTTAATTTTTAGGTCTTATTTTCACGAATTAAGCTGAGTGTTTTAAGAAAGCTTTTATATGTCGCCGAGTTTTTTTCATTTACGTACTTTTCGAGAAAGAAAAGTTCTTTTTGGGAAGTGGAAGTCGAATCTTGAAAGAAGAGGGAGGGCGGGAAAAAGCTAGTTTGGAGATTGGTATTTGGTACAGCAGTTATGTGAAGTCTGCCAGCTACCTTTTGTCTCTGGTCGGCTGTTATCTTGTTCTTCAGTTTTAGTAGTGCAAAATCATTTCCCATTTCTTTTACTCTGTCTTACAAAGGTTAGAACTTATGCGCTTTAAGGTTGCCTAATTACAGGAGGAAGGGAAAGCATCAGCGAAAACAGGCTTATTTGCAATTGTTAAAGTATTAGTCAGATTCCACAAATTTCTTAAAATCCTTTCTTGACATAAGCTGAATTTGTTGCATTTTTGTCGGACCATCTTGGCTTAAAGTGTTTTTTAGGGACCTTCGAGGTCGTCTCAATCATGTACAGTTACTTTGGGAACTAGTTCTCATTGGAGAAGTAAGTAATTTTTTGAAAACACTTGTGTATTTTTAAAAATTTTCAGCTTCTTGAAAAATAATTATATTTTAAGCCATTGGTTGTTATGGCTCCATGCCCTGCCACTTGTGCGTCGTTGGTAGAGTCACTTATATCGTTGATATGGCCGCTGAGGTTACTGTATTATTTTTTTTCTTATTATTGTCTTTACAGCTTAGTCACCGGAGCGTTTGTGTAAAAATAGATTTCTAGATATCGTAACGACTATCGTCCATATTTTACCATACACGATTCTGAATTCAAAGAGTATACAGCAAGAACTCACTCACCGTAGGTTCCAAGTTATTTCTGTTATCTTAAGAATTCACTGACTTTATAAGTCTTATCTTGACAATTTATTTTTTAATATTTTCTTAGTGGACTGCTTTAAGCCCTCACGTTGTGCTTGGCGTCACTAATCCGTTTTTTATCAAGACGTTGCAACATTGGCCTCATATTTTGCGCGTTGATGAAACTAGCAACGGTGTATCTGCAGCATCAGATAAAAGCATCAGGTTTTTATTTATGTTCTTACTTGAATTGGAGTAACGGTTTTTATATTTCTTAATTTCTTAACGGTTCAGGCGTGCTTGGGATGGGCGTCTGTTTGACATCAAGCCGGGTCTGTACAGCCAATACAGGACTTTCCTTTATCGCGATAAAAGTTTGCTCAAAAAGTTGTTAAAAGATGATAGGCAGGATTCAGTATTAAGTGCGGTGTTGCGAAGGCACATGCTGGAATTGACTCAAAGTTTTATGATACCTCTCGAAAGATACCTTTCGTCTTTGATGCCTTTGCAAAAGCACATGTCTCCATTTCGAGTGATTATTTTAATTGTCTGCGAGTAATTCTAAAATAAATTTTCATATCTTTGCTAGAAGATCTCGTTATTTATAGGTTCTAAATTCTTACAATTCTTCTAGGCGATACCACAAGCCCGACCATTTGTTGCGGAGAACTTTTTATCGACTTTGGGGGATGCTGGCCCAGAATTAACCTGTGGTCTTAAGGGCGATTGGAAAGGCAAGTTTGAACATATGCATTGCATTTGAAGGTTGTTTTTTGTGAATTAGGTAATTTCGCTCACTCACCTTTTGGTTATATGGGGCGAGTAAGTTTGTTCATGATCATATGGGGGCATATTTTTTATTCTTTTCTCGCTTTTAGTATGAGATTTTATAGGACTGTATAAAAAATTCATGCAATCAAGCAACTTTGAAGGTTGGCTTAGAAGCAGGCAAAAGGATATTAATCGCCAACTTCGAACTTCTTATGTCGAGGTTTTCTAATCATCTGTTTAGAGGTACTTGGTTTTTACAATAACTGTTGTCGTAATATCAGTTTTTAAGGTTCTTTGCAAAGCTGACTTCTCTACTGAGGTGTTGCAAGAGAAGCAACAAGTGGAAATTGTGGATTTGGTGCTGAAAATCAACAGCTATATTGGAAGCTTGAAAAGTTACCAGTCAGAAATGCGGAAACGTTTGCAAGCACAGTTGAGAACTATTCTGCAATCAGTAGATGACGAGTTAAAGACATTACTTCTTTCTAATTGCACATTCAGGGACCAAGTGCCGGACTAAAAATGATATTGAAATATAGCTCAATCATTTTCTTATGGCAGAATACTTTTTTTTTTGTTAATTCCCTTTTGGGAATTTCTTCCTTCTTTTATTTGCATTTTATTGTTTGTAAATTTTGTGGACTTCTCTTTAGTCTTTTG